GGCCCCCGATTTTTTGAAACTTTGAAAAATTGCGTCAGTCCAATTTGATGGTTGCTTGAATGTTTGTGTTATCAACAGTTTATAAGGCGTAATGATTGTTATTCGTGAAAATAAAAAAAATCGACATCTCATTACGATATCTTATTCGTGCTGGGCTTCCGCGTAAGATATACTGATCCATGTTTGAACATCGTGCATTGTTGTTTCGGCCTGTTGTGAATCTAGTTGTCTCGCCAGGCGCTGCCTGCCTGACCTGTCTTGTCTGTGCGGCCTGCCTGCCTGTGCTGCTGTCTGGGCCTGGCCTGCCTGTCTGTCTGTTGTGCTGTCGCCCGTGCTTGGCCGTGTTTGGTGTTTGTCTGCTGTCGCGCTCGTTTGTGGTGTTTGTCCTGCCCGTGCCTGGCTCTGTCTGCCTGCCTGGCTGCCTGCCTGCTCTGCGCTGCCATGCCTGTCGTGGCGCTGCCTGCTGCCCCGCCTGCTGCCTGTTTTGTGTGTTTGTCTGTCTGCCGCTGCCCTTGCGCGGCGCTGTCTGGCCTGCCTGCCTGCCTGCCTGGCCTGCCTGCCTGCCATGCCTGCCTGTTCTGCCTGCCTGCCTGCCTGCTGCTCTCCCGCCTGCCTGCCTGTTTGTGTGTTTGTCTGTCTGCCTGACTGCCTGCCTGCCTGTCTGCTTGCTTGTCTGCCTGCCTGCCTGTTTGCTTTTCTACCCGCCTATCTACCTGTCTCTATCTGCCTCATTGCCTACCTGATTACCCATCTATGTATATCTGCCTCATTGCCTACCTGATTACCCATCTATGTATATCTGCTTCATTGCCTATCTGATTACCCATCTATGTATATCTGGCCCCATTGCCTATCTGATTACGCATACTATGTATCTGCCTCATTGCCTACTGCTGATATAGGCGCATCTATGTATATCTGCCACCATTGCCTACCTGATTACCCATTCTATGTATATCTGGCGCTGCATTGCCTACCTGATATCATCAATGTATACTTGGCCGTCATTGCCTATCTGATTTACCTACATCTAATGTATATCTAGCCTCATTGCCTACCTGATTACCATGCTATGTATATCTGCCGTGCTTATGTGCACTGGTGTGTCTGTCTCGGCCGTGTCACTATTGTATCTGGCTTGCTGGTTATAGTCGTTGGTCTGTGTGTCTGTAAGGTGTGTATGTATCGTATGTATGTATGTATGTTGTATGTATGTATGTAGTATGTATGTATGTATGTATTATGTATGTATGTATGTATGTGATGTAATGTATTAAGTATGTATGTATGTATGTATGTATGTATCGTATGTATGTATATGTATGTATGTATGTATGTTTATGTAGTATGTAATGGTATGTATCGTAGTAGTATGTATGTAGTGTATGGTATGTAAGCGTACGTACGTACGTACGTACGTACGTATGTATGTATGTATGTAAGTGTGTCTGTAAGTGTGTATGTAATCTTTTACATAAATCTGCGTGTGCGTCGTCTGAGACGCACACACTTATGTTAAACTTGTTAGGGTAGCTTATATGAGCACCACTATTGATGTTTGATTGGTTAGGGTATGATTATATGCCACCACTAACACAGTCTACGTTACAATACACTGACAGCCATGATTGCTCTTTGAAACAAAACTCAATATATCTCTCACACTGGATAATACGCGTCATAGTAACACATTTTAAATTCATCTCAGAATAAAATCACTCTTAACATTATTATAGAACGCTGTGAACGCTATCAAGAACGAGATATAATGCTTAGAAAGTGCCTTTAATTAGCGCATATCATCTGTTCAGACAGCTATAACCGTTACTACCTAATATAAGGGCCCAGAATGCTGAATACATTCACTTGGCGGCACAACGCCCTACAGCGACGTTTGTCTGGCACCGTAAAGTTGTAAGAAATATCTAATTTTCGATGTTGCTTCTTAAAGCTCAATGAGCGAAGGCGGCAAAAAAAAAAAAATACGCTCTGTTAAACATAGTAATTTTTTTAAAATAATTTTTTTAAACATTTTGTTTTAAATAATATTTTTAATAATATTAGACTTTAAGAACTGACTCTTGCCGTAACGTTTACTATTTGTAAACTACACACACACACACACACCACACACACAGCAGCGACACACACACAGCACACACACACACATCACACGCACACACACACACACCACATCACACACACACACCACAGCAACACACAACACAACCACACACACAAATCACTCATAGCGTGGAGATGAGATCCGCGATAGCAGAGCATAACAAGTACAATAATGACGGTACTAACGAATGTGCGCGATGTTGATCGTAATGCTTTATAAGACACTTGATTACTTACCTTATGCGTGCGATTTATTTAATGCACTCCGGCATCATGAATGCGTTGCGGAGAGTGCTCGTCAACACTCATGAATGATGTTAAAACATGAGTATGAATAACGATGATAAATGACGTATTCACGGACACGCGGTTTCACGAACTGTCGTAGAGGTTAAAATGATTTCACCGTTTAAAGTGATTACGCTCGTCACCGTGAATAGTAAAAGTAAAAAAAGATATCTTTCACTTTTCCATACAAAATGTAATGTGATCTGTCACATTTTAATCGTTAAATTGGCTGCTTTGTAGCCTTCTATTTTACTATATTGTTCGATGTAAACATACACTCGTGACTCATACATATCCCCGGTAGCAAGCAATTATGTCAGGAAACACTAAATCATGAATATCGTCGCAGGTTTTCTTTGATTTTTAACGTAGTTTAGAAACAATCTATCCAGGTAAAGGAATTTGTGACGATACATTTAGTCGCGCCGTTAGTACTTAATTTTTAATGAAAAAAAATGGCAACAAAACATTTTACAAAATATACACCATAGAGAAATTCGTGACGGCTAAGTCAATTTAAGATTTATAGTGTCGATTTTTTTAACGTCATATGTTTTGTAGACGTTATCACGTGCGGTCATCCAGCCCTCGTATTATTCATACTTATTGATAGCTTATTTGAAAAGTTGATACGCGTAATTTGGAAAATTGCAT